AGCGCGCCGGGGGCCCGGCCCCGCCGGGGCTGGGGGCGGCTGGCCCCGCCTGGGGACCCGTCCCCGCTGCCGGCGGCGGGAGCTGGGGCGGCCTGGCTCTGCCCACGGTTTCTGGGGGGCCCCGGCCCTAAAGGGGTCGTGCCCAGAACTGAGCGTTTCAGCCCCAGCACACTGAGGGGCTACAGGGCCTGGATCGGGGGCAGCACCCGCTGAGCCCCTTCCTGGGGGCTCCTGGTAGCAGGGGTGGCTATGGGACACCCAGTGCCTGTGCACACAGCCTCAGGCATCATGATGAGATCCTTGTGGTGGCGGCGAGCTCAGGGAGTTTGGGGTAATTCAGGGCCCGGGCACCTCATGGCATGTATGGCTCTGGGGGGTTGGGGACAGCACGGCCGTGGGTGTCCCGAGTGGCACACGGAGCTGGTGGCTGGCAGTGTGTGTCAGCAGTACCCAGAGCTGCCGGGATCACGGCACTGAAACACTCACTGCCTGTGCTGCCTGGCCAGGGGTCCCCAGGCAGGGTCACGCCAGCAGCCCCAGGATGGTGGCCCGAGGGGGGACACAGCCCCCACTCCAGCCTGCGGGCAGCTCCGGGCAGTGCTGGGGGCTCTTGCATTTGTGGGCAGCAGAGGAAACACGGCCCCTGTCAGCCCCTCGGTGCCCCCTGCCCGGGCAGACACAGCGCTGCCTGCGGGGAGCACAGAGCCCCACACTCTGTCCTTATGCTCCGGCTGGGCCCCAAACCGGGGGATCTGTCGCCCCCTGAGGTGCCAGCCCCACAGCCGGCCCTGCCAGCACTCTGGTGTCCCCAGGGTGGCCAGGCAGGGCACACTGCAGTGGCACAGCGGGAGGGTGGCTGTGCTGTGGCCAGGGATGAACGGGCGGTGCCTTTGTCTGGGGCCTTCCCTGGGCCTGTGCCACATGGCCGCTCTCGTCCTCTGCTGGGGGGACTGCCCTGCCGCTGGCCTGACCTCGTCCTGCCGGCGCTGCGGTCACTGGGCGGCTCCAGCCGCGGGGCCAGGGCCAGGGCAGCCGGGGGGGCAGCTGGGGCGGCGGCCGGCAGCCCCCGAGCAGGCAGGCAGCCCCCGAGCAGGGCAGGCAGCCCCTGAGCAGGGCAGCAGCCCCCGAGCAGGGCCGGCAGCCCCCGAGCAGGGCCGGCAGCCCCCGAGCAGGGCTGGCAGCCCCCGAGCAGGGCAGCAACCCCTGAGCAGGGCAGCAGTCCCCAAGCAGGGCTGGCTGGGGCTGCAGGCTGCCGGCAGCATGGGCTGGGCACTGGGAGCAGGCACAGCGGGACCCCGGAGCGCCGTGACCCCCCCGCGCCGCCGGCCCGCGGCTCCTGCTCTGGTTAATGTTAAAGCCAGCAGACGTCAAGGACTGCCGCAGCTCCCCCAGCCCCTCTGCCGGGGGCTGCCAGCTCCAGGACTGTTTTTCCTCCCAGAGCAGGCTCTGCCCGTCCCATGTGGCTAAAAAAAGCCATCGGCTTGGCTGGGACAGCAGGACAACAAATTCCCAGCCCGAGCAGCCTCCTGGCAACCCTGGCACACTCCATGCACCTTCTTGGGGTGCCCCTGGTGTGCATCACCCCCGTTGTCGCTGTCTTCATCGTAGTTGTCCTCGTTGTCGTCGTCGTCCTCCTCCTTTGCTGTCTTCATCGTCCTCCTCCTCCTGCCCACGCGGGGCCAAGCGAGGTGAAGGTCCCCGGTGGAACAGTGGCAGTTGCCCTTGTCCTGCTGGATCCAGCTGCCGAGTCACGCGCCAGCCGTGAGCAGGGACGCTGGCTTCCATGTAGGGTCAGGCTTCCATGTAGTGTCTGCATGCCCCCAGCCCCACTGTACCCCCCCAGCTTCACATGGGACTCTGCAGCTGGGTTTGGTCCCAGTTCTAGGAGGGTTTTTACAGCTGCGTTTTTGATCCTGATGATGAGTGATGCCGGTTCCACGAGGGGTTTTGCAAACGGGTTTGGTCCCGGGGGGGTGGGGCCATTCGCAGTTCCACGAAGGATTTTAAACCGGTGTCTGATCCCCAGGTTTCGTTTCATTTCTGGTCCCAGGCAGGGGTTTGCAGCTAGGTCTGGTCCCAGGGGCTTTTGTTCCCTATTCCATGAGGGGATTTACAACCGGATCAGGTTCTGGGGGATTTGGTCCCTGATCCCTGTGGGGTTTGGCAACCAAGTCAGATTACGTGGGGGGTGGTCCAGATCCCACGCAGGGTTTTACAGCTAGATTTGGTCCTGGGCCAAATTTGGCCTGGCGCCCATTCCACGCGGCATTTTACAGACGGGTTTGGTCCCCGTTCCCCGTGGGGTCCGGCCACGTATCCCTAACCCGACGCACCCAGGGATGCAACATCCCTCCGGTGGGAGTGGGAGCGCTGCGGACCGCGGCCACCCTGTGCGGTAGCACGGGCAGCACAGGCCCGGCCCCACCGCGGGACCCCCGCGGCCCCTCCGGAGGCCCCACGAGGGGGCCGGGGCTCTGTCCCGCCCCGGGGCGGAGAGAGCCGCGCCCCGGTGTCCGCCCCGTCGTGTCCGCCCACGCCATGGCCGCCCGTTACCTCCGCGCTGCCCCGGCGCTGCTCCGCCTGCCCCGCTGCCCGCCGCCCGCCGCCGGCCAGGGCCAGCGCCGCCACTGTGAGTGGGGACACGGGGGCACGGGGCTCGGGCGCCCCGCGGGGCCGGCCCGCCTGGCGGGGAGCGCTGCGCGCCCGCGGCGGGCGGCTCGGATTCTTTCGGGGGGCGGTGTCGGGAGCGGGATCCGGACTCGCGCGCACCGCGGGCCGCTGCCCCCGCGCCGCGGCTTGCAGCTCGGTCTGCTCCGGGGAGGGTCGCTCCCGCTTCTGCGAGGGGGTTCGCAGATTACTTTGGTCCCAGGGGAGGTTGGTCCCGGCTCCACGTGGCGTTTTGCACTCCAGCTCGTACCTGGTCTGAGCCTGGTGCGGGGGGGGGTCGCTCAAGGTCCCGGGCCGGCGCGGGATTTTGCCCCCAGGAGGGTTCACTCCTGGTCCTGGTGCCACGCAGAGTTTTGTTGCCTATCAGTGCTCAGGTCCCACTCAGGGAGGGTCACCTCTGCTCTGGGTACCACGTGAGGTTTTACAGCCTGACCACAGACAGGTTTGGCACCCAGAGGGCTTTAGTCCTGGTCCAGGATCCACGCAGGGATTTGCACCTCGGTTTGTGCCTGAGTCTGGCCCCAGGGGATTGCACCTGCTCCTGGTTCTGGTCCCATTCTTGATCTCACTGAGGCGTTGGAGCCCGGTGTGGATCCCCCTCTGGGAGGAATGTGTCCCTGTCCCCCTCACGTGGTGGGTTTTGCACTCTGACCCCCACTCCAGCAGTGGTGGTCCCAATAACTGGCCCAGACCCCAGTGGGGCTTGCCTGTACCTGTGCCTGAGCCAGGGTGGCACCCACAGGATGCCTTGGCCCCACAGCAGGGTGTGGAGCTGTGGGACCAGGGGTGCACCCCTAACACCCCACACTGCTCTCCAGATGCCGACAAGCGGATCAAGGTGGCAAACCCAGTGGTGGAGATGGACGGGGATGAGATGACGCGGATCATCTGGGCCTTCATTAAGGAGAAGGTGATGGGGTCCTGCCCCAGGGACGGGCGGGTGTGCCACAAGTGGAGCTGGGGACTTGTACGGGGAACGGGTGATCCTTGTGCTGCCCTCTGTCTGTCCCTCCCGCCTCTGTCCCTCTGTCTGCAGGAAGCAGGTCGTAAAATGGGCACAACTACCAGAAGGACCTTTAAGTGAGGCGATTCCGGGCAGGGGGAGCTGTCTCACACAGGGAGGCCTACTCAAGGCAGGGGGATACTACCAGAAGGACCTTTAAGTGAGGCGGTTCGGGCAGGGGGAGCTGTCTCACACAGGGAGGCCTACTCAAGGCAGGGGGATCATCCTGCTCAGCGGAGCCACCGTGGGCAGGCAGCCAGGGCTGGCCATGCCGTGGTGCTGCTCCCCAGGCACCTCACACTGTCCCCCCATTCTGACGCTCTCCTGGCCCCTCAGCTCATCCTGCCCAACGTGGATGTCCAGCTAAAGTACTTCGACCTGGGCCTGCCACATCGGGACAAGACGGATGACCAGGTCACCATTGACTCAGCGCTGGCCACCCAGAAGTACAGCGTGGCTGTCAAGTGTGCCACCATCACGCCTGATGAAGCCAGGGTGGAAGGTGGGCAGGGGCAAGGGCCCGAGCTCCCGTCGCAGTGGCAGGGTGCTGAGCCTCCTGTCTGTTCCCCTTGGGATCAGCAGTGCCCTCCCACTGCCAGCTCAGGTTTCTGGTGGGTTGGAGGCTGCACCATACTCAGTGCTGTGCCCCCCTCCTCACCCTGGGGCCTCGTGGGTGCTGTTGGGACCCCATGGGCCTGGGGACACACTGACCTCTGCCCTGTGCCAGCCACGATCTCATGCTGGCTGTCCCTCCCCTTGCAACGCATGGCACAGTGGAGCTGGTGCTGGCAGTGACCATGTGCTTCAGGGGGGCTGGGGAGCGGTCATTCAGGGGTCCCATCTGCATGCCCCACAGAGTTCAAGCTGAAGAAGATGTGGAAGAGCCCCAACGGCACCATCCGAAACATCCTGGGGGGGACGGTGTTCCGGGAGCCCATCATCTGCAAGAACATTCCTCGTCTGGTGCCCGGCTGGACCAAGCCCATCACCATTGGCCGCCACGCCCATGGAGACCAGGTGAGCCAGCGCAGGTGACCAGGTGAGCCAGCACAGGTGACAGGGCCGGCAGCCTGTGGCTGGCCAGCAGCTGCCTCCACCCCTGCCTGACGCTCTGCCTGGCCCTGCAGTACAAAGCCACCGACTTCGTGGTGGACAAGTCTGGGACATTCAAGCTGGTCTTCACGCCCAAGGACGGCAGCGGCGCCAAGGAGTGGGAGGTGTTCAACTTCCCCGGCGGCGGCGTGGGCATGGGCATGTACAACACGGACGAGGTACGGCTGGGGCTCGGGGGCCCTGCGGGGCAGCATGCCCTGCCAGCCCGGGGGATGCCAGGCTGAGGGACAGGGGCTCCTGTGCTTCCCTTGCAGTCCATCTCCGGCTTCGCGCACAGCTGCTTCCAGTACGCCATCCAGAAGAAGTGGCCGCTCTACCTGAGCACTAAGAACACCATCCTCAAGGCCTATGACGGGCGCTTCAAGGACATCTTCCAGGAGATCTTTGATAAGTATGGACCTGGGGGGGGTCAGGGCTGTCCTGGGGCGCTGGCAGTGAGACCCACGCAGGGTGAGCACGGCTGACCCCTGGCCCGGCTCCCAGGCACTACAAGACGGAGTTTGACAAGCTGAAGATCTGGTACGAGCACCGGCTCATCGACGACATGGTTGCCCAGATGCTGAAATCCTCCGGCGGCTTTGTCTGGGCCTGCAAGAACTACGACGGGGATGTCCAGTCAGACATCCTGGCCCAAGGTGGAGCAGGGTAGGGTGTGCTGGGCTCTGCAGCATCACCCTGGGGGCTGTCCTGACCGCTGTCCCACCGCAGGGTTCGGCTCCCTGGGGTTGATGACCTCTGTCCTGGTGTGTCCGGATGGGAAGACCATTGAGGCCGAGGCCGCCCATGGCACTGTCACCCGCCACTACCGGGAGCACCAGAAGGTGGGCAGAGCCTGTGAGCTGCCTGTGCCAGGCTGCCCACGGCGTGCTGTCCACACCAGAGCGCTGACCTCTCTCTCTGCGCAGGGACGACCCACCAGCACCAACCCCATTGCCAGCATCTTCGCCTGGACACGCGGCCTGGAGCACCGCGGCAAGCTGGACAGCAACCCTGACCTCATCAAGTGAGCGGGGGGTCCGTCCCCGGGGCAGCTCCCTGCCAGCAGCTGCTCTGGTCGCAGTCGTGGCAGGGCCCGTGGCACCAGCTGTGCAAACTGTCCCCAAACCTGTCCCAGGTTTGCGCAGACGCTGGAGAAGGTCTGTGTGGACACGGTGGAGAGCGGGACCATGACGAAGGACCTCGCCGGCTGCATCCATGGCCTTGCCAAGTACGGGTGGCTCGGGGCAGAGCGGGGGCAGCCACCTGCACTAGGGCAGCGTGGCTGCACGGGTGACCATGCAGGGTGGCCACAAGAACAGCATAGTGACCACAGGGACGGGCTGGCCCTGCAGGGCAGCCTCAGGGGTGTGACCAGGAGCTGGCTGTGCACAGTGGCCACAGGTAGCTGCTGGCCTCTCTGGACAGTCCCAGGGTCTCGGGATGGCTATTTTATTCACTATTGATTGGGCTGGGCAGGGGCCACATCCTGGACGCAGGGCTGTGGTGCCTGTGGGGGGAGGCAGGCAGGGACCCCCACCAATCCCTGTCTGTCTCCCCAGTGTGAAGCTGAATGAGCACTTTGTGAACACTACCGACTTCCTCGATGCCATCAAGAACAACCTGGACAAGGCTCTGGGCAAGAAATAGGAGACAGCTCCCCCATCTCTGGGATGGATGGGGCTGGGCGGGGCCCAGTGCCCCCCAACTCCCCAGCACAGCTCAGGAACAGTTCAATAATTTTTCTAAAGTTTTCTTAGGAGTGTTTTTAAAGCTTTTGTAGCAGGGGAGTGTAGGGGTGGGGGACGTGTGGGGGTGTGTCTGTCCTGCCCTGATTCATGTACCCCGTAACCGTTTGGTGCCATTAAATGTCTCCCCAGCCATGGCACAGCACCTGGCACAGCTTTACACTGCGGGCACAGGGGGCAGCCAGAGCCCTCAGCTCAGCCTTGCCAGCTTGGGGGGGCCTGCACTCCAGCATTTTGGCATTATGGGGTTCCCAGCCCTGCCAGGCTGAGGAAGGGTCAGGGCTGGCCAAGGCTGTGGGGGTGTCCCCAAGATGCCCCAAGGCTGGCAGGGGTAGCAGGCACACTGCCGTGTGGGGAACTGAGTGGAGCCACACCCAGCCCCAGCCCAGGGCTTTTGGGGATGGGGCAGATGCTGCTCAGCCACTGACACGAAGTGTAGGGTGTGTGGGGTCAGCACAGGTGTCCCAGACCCTCTGCCCTGGCTGGTCCCTGGGTCCTGGTGCCTGCCAGGACCCGATGCAGCTCTGGGTGCTCCTCTGCCCCCCAGCAGAGAGTGAAGAGCCCAAAGAGTGGTGCCAGAGTCAGCACTGCCCCAGCTGCCCCCCTGCCACCTCCTCCTCCAGCCCAGAGCAGCTGGGGGCAAGGAGGGGGTGCCAGTTCCTCTGCCCAGGAGCCCGCTCTGGTGCTCAGCCCCTCGCCACCCCCTCTCCCCACACAGACCACACAGCTTACACGGGTTTACAAAGCACATTGGTTGAAGGGAACTGAACTCAGTGAAAAGATAAAACCAACCACGCGGCACATCTGAAAAAAATAAATTACTTTCAAAATACCATCATTTGCTGGGGCTGGGCTGGGTTTGCCTCCCCTGGCTCCACCGCTGGCTGCAGCTCCAGACCCAGAGCTGTGGGCACTGGCTGCGCCCTGAGCTTCTATGAAAATACTCTGTTCTTCATCCCAGGGCCTGACACAGGGGTGAGAGCCCCAGGGTGAGTGGGAAATGCAAACCCACCTCCTCATGCGGGCAGGGGCTTCTGCCCGTCAGGGGAACCCCTGTGCACAGAGGGGGGACCCAGGAGGTAGAATAATTAGTGATGCTCATCATCTTGCTCCACAGCAGCCCCTTCCATCCTTACTCATTCAGTGATCTGCTGGGTCATGCCTCCCCTGCCTGCAGCTTCAAGTCACCAGGTGCAGGGTGCAGGCAGGAGCAGGGGGGCAGCAGCAGAGCCAAGGCAGTTCCAGCAAAGTCTTCTGGACATGCCTGTGTTCCCCAAGCCCAGTGGAAGCCATCCCTCCAGCTCTGGGGGGCCTGGCTGGGTGCCTCAGCCCCTCTTAACGCCACCAAGCCCCCACATCCCCACCAGCCTGGGCTACAACATGTTGTAGTAGGCCATCTCCTTCATGGCCTGCTCGGCCAGCGTGTGCTCGTCTGGGGGGTTGCCCACAGCCCCGTAGCCGTAAGAGTTCTCCTCCTCGAAGTCATCCATCTCCTGCTGGCCGTCCAGCTCAGTGTGATCAGCCCCAGCCAGCTCCATCATGGCATCTAGGAGTCAGCACAGGGGCATGCGGTGAGGGACCTGTGGGGAGGGCTGGGGCCAGCAGCTCCCCCCTCCCTGGGTTTGGAGCCCAGAACTGCCTGGGAGCCACAGCCCTGCTTGATCTGGGCTGCCTGGGGGGCAGCCCTTGGGCGAGAAGATGTGAGCCTGCCGCAGCCAGCCCAGCCCAGCCCAGCCCAGCCCAGCCCAGCCCAGCCCAGCTCCCAGGGCTGCGGGGCAGTCACGATGGCCAGCCCGTGCTGGGGACCCACCTTGGCTGTCCAGGCTGATGTCCATCACGCCGTGCTTGACCTTCATGTGCCGGCTGAGGTTGCCCTTCAGGTTGAACTTGCTGGAGCAGTAGGGGCACTTGAAGGGCTTGCTGCCGGCGTGCAGGTGCATGTGGCCCAGCAGGTTGTACATGCGGTTGAAGGACTTGCCGCAGACCTGCCGGCAGCCAGCCCACGGTCACCCCGAGCTGGCAAAGGCTCTGCAGCACAGACCTGGCCCCGGGGTGCCCCGGGGCTCCACCAAGACTAACGGGGCTGCTGCCCTCCTGCAGTCCCTCCTGGCTCCTGCCCAGAGCAGTGGGGCTCCCTCCCTCCTCCCGCTCGGTGTGGGGATGCAGTGCTGATGCTGCTGGGAGCTCCAGAGCAGCCAGCGCTGCTCAGAGAGAGGCACTGGCTGCCATTCAGCACTGCTCCCGTCGCAGCTTGGAGCAGATATTCCATACCCAAACGAGCAGGGGAGGCACCACAAAGCTGCTTCCATGCCCAAGGGCTCAGCCTGGCCAGATTCCTGTGGGCACAGCACAGCAGGACCCGTGCTCCCACATCCCCAGCTCCACCAGCCCCAGTCCCACCGGTACCTTGCACTTGAAAGGCTTCACAGGTGAGTGCACGATCATGTGGGTCTTGAGCGTCTGCTTCTGCACGAAGGTCTTGAAGCAGATGTGGCACTGGTAGGGCCGGACGCTGGTGTGGATCAGCATGTGCCGCTTCATGTTGGCCTGCAGGGTGAACTCCCGCCCGCACACCTCGCACTTGAACTCCTTCACGCCCTGCCGGGGGGAGAGCTTGGGCAGACCCAGGCACCGGGCCACACGAGGGGGCCAAGAGTGGAGAGGGGACCCCATGGGCAAGGGATGGGCTCCTCGTGCTGAGCACAGCACGGGGTGTATCTGAGCGCCCAGCAACGTGCAGGGGCTGTGGTGGGGGCTGGAGTCAAGTGCCAGCTCTGCTCTGGGGCTCAGCCCAATTGCTCCCCATTAACGAGACCAAGGAAAAGGGCAAGCACCCACACACAGCCTGCCCAGAGGGGCTCTGACAGCTCCTGGACAGGGCCCCCCAGGTTACCCTGCAGCAGGTCTGAAACTCCCTCCCCGAGGAAGGGAACCCCCAGAAGGGCAGAGGCTGGGTCCCAGAGGCCCCCTCACTGCATGTCAGTGACCCCAGCTAATGCCAGCCACAGGTGCTACTGCCCCCCTGCACCACCCACCTCCCCCCAAGACTGGGGGCACTGGGACACTCCTCTCCACCAGCACCCACATCCAGAGCTGGCACATCTCTGGGCACGATGAGGGCAGCACCCCAGAGGACCCTGAGCCCCTACCTTGTGCGTGAGCGAGTGCTGCTTGAGGTGGTGGATCTGGCTGAACTCCATCCCACACTCGGTGCAGACAAAGGGCCGGACGTTCTGGTGCTTCAGCATGTGGTTCTGCAGCTGGCTGCGGTAGTGGAAGGACTTGCTGCACTCCAGGCACTGGTAGAGCGTGGGGCCCTGGTGCGTGGCCAGGTGCCGCTTCAGCTGGGTGAGCGTGGAGAAGTCCAGCCCGCACTCCACGCACACGTGGCAGCGCCCGCTCTCGTGCTTCACCTCGTGCGCCTTCAGCTCGCTGGGGTAGGCGAAGCCGCGCCCGCAGAAGCGGCAGCTGTAGGGCTTGATGTCGGTGTGCAGCAGCATGTGCCGCTTCAGGTGGCTGGTCTGGGTAAAGGCTTTGCTGCACACCCCGCACTTGTGGGGCCGTGTGCCCTGGTGGGTCAGCAGGTGGGTCTGCAGGTGGCTGGGCTGCTTGAACAGCTTGTTGCAGTGCGGGCAGGAGTGGGGCTTGATGCCGTTGTGGCCCAGGATGTGGGTCACCAGGTTGTACTTGGAGGTGTAGGACTTCTCGCACATGCGGCACTGCCAGCGCTTCTGGCGGTCCCCTGCCTCCACCAGGTAGGAGTCGTCGATCTGCACGTTGATGTCCAGCCGGTCCAGCTGCGCCTTCCTGCTGTGCTCGCTGGTGCCGCCGGCCGCCTCCAGCTCCCCCGGCTCCTGCCAGCCACAGCCCTGCTCGCTCTTCACCTGCTCGGGGGACGCCGGCGCGGGGGCCTCCGCCTCGCCGGGGGACGGGGCACCCGCCTCGAAGGTGCCCACGGTTTGCGGGGCCCCCCCGGTGCCGCCGGCCAGGTCACTGCCCCTGCGCCGGCGCTCGGTGCCCTCCGGCTCCCGGTGCCGGCGCAGGTGCCGCAGGCGCCGGGGGGGCTTCCTGCTGAAGGTGCCCAGGTCGATCATCTTCATGGCACCGCTCTGCGCCACCGCCTCCTGGCTCGGCTCTGGGGGCTGGGGCGCGTGGCCGGGCTGCCCCTCGCCCTCCTCGTCCTCGGGGACCGACGCGTTGTACGGCGGCTCAGCCTCCACCTCTGCCTTCTCACTCTTGACCTTGGGCATCAGCCTCACGGGCGGCCTCTTCCTCCTCCGGGCGTGCTTCTCCAGGGAGGAGTCTGCCTCCAGGGCGTCCTCGTCCTGCCCATCCCCAGGCGCCTGCTCCTCACCCTCAGGCTCCCCTGGCTCCGTGCTGGCACTGTCCAGCTGCTCCCCGGCCAGCCCCGGGAAGAAGCCAGTAGGGGTGACGGTGGCCCCGAGCAGCTCATTGTCGGACACCAGGCCCAGGACAGCAGCCTGTGCCAGGGACAGCACCACCACGGCGTCCGTCTGCGTCCCGCACTCGCTGAACCGATCCATCTCTCGCTGCCGGCCTATGCCGTCATGGCTGAGGAGGAGAGACACGGCCTGAGCCCCTGGCAGCCCCCGCCACAGGCACTGCGCCTCGGGGGCTCAGCCCAGCCGTCACCTCCTCCTCAGGGAGCCCAGACTGGCACCAGGGATGCCAGCTGTGTCCCCAGCACCACACACCCAGGATGTGGGGACAGTGGCCCCAGGGGTTTCCACTGTAGGGTTGGGGCGAGGGGGGAAGCTGGGATCCAAGGAGGGAAGCTGGGATCCTGCCCACTGTCGGCCTCTCTGGATGGGCTATCAGTTTGGCTGCTTGCATGCCCTCAGGCTCCTAGAGTGACTCCAGGGAACAAGTGCCCAGCAATCTGGGAACCGGTCACAGCTGAGAGTGGCTCTGAGCTCGGGCAGGAGCAGCACAGGGAGCACGGACGGGGCCCAGACCCACCACCGGGACACAGGCTGCCTGGCAGCGGGGCTGGGCACAGGCAGAGCTGTGCTGGCCCAGCCCTGGTGGCTGGCAAACCCGCCCTGGGGCTCCCAGCACCAGCACGGCACCCTCCCCCAGCGGGGACAGCCAGGAGCTTCCTCCTGCCGAAGGAGTGTTCTCCTAAACACAATTATTCCTGCAGCTACAACAAAGAAATCGTGCGGGGGAGGTGAAACGGGATAAATTCTGAGCCAGATCCTGTCACAGTCCCAGGAGAACCCCAGAGCATGAGGAGATGGTGGGATGAACCTCCGCTGTGGAGAAGGGAAACCCCACAGTGCTGGCCATCATCCCTGCAGCCAGGTCGGCCAGAGGGACACTGAGCATGGCCGGGGACATCGGCCTCTCTCTCTGTGCTGCTGGCAGTGCCTGCTCCTGCCCACCCCAAGGTGTCCCCTCATGGCACTGCCCTGCGCCCGCAAACACCGGCCACAGCACGGGGCACGGCACGGGGCACGGCACGGGATGGTGGGGAAGGTCGAAACCAGTGTGAAAAAGACAGAGAAGGGGGGCAACACCAAGCCTGGCCACAGCCCCGGCGGCTCCGGCCCGGGCCCAGAGCAGCCGCTGAGGGGACCCGGCCCGGCCCGAGCTGCCGGGGCGAGGTCTGAGCACCCCGGGGCCCGGGCAGCCCTGCCCTGCGGCAGGACACGGAGGAGAGGGAGAGGATGGGGGTGGGAGGAGGAGAAGGAAGGGGATGAGGCGAGCACTAGTGCGGAGGCAGCGAAACAAAGCACGGAGTGGGGGAGGGCGGCGGCGGGAAGAGGAGGAGGGCTGGGAGGAAGAGCAGGGCTCAGCGAGGGGGGCGGCAGCTGGCCTGCACCGACAGCCCCGCGCCGCGCCACGCCGCCTGGGACCCCCTCCCGAGGGACCTGAGCTGGGACCCCGAGCTGGGACCCCTCCCGAGGGGCCCTGAGCTGGGACCCCCTCCCGAGGGGCCCTGAGCTGGGACCCTGAGCTGGGACCCCTTTCCCTGGGACCCCGAGCTGGGACCCCCTTCCGAGGGGCCATGAGTGGGACCCCCTTCCCCTGGGGCCCTGAGCTGGGACCCCCTCCCGTGGGACCCTGAGCTGCCCTCGCAGCAGAGGAGAGGGGACACGGGACGAGGTCCCAGCTCTGTCCCCACGAGCCCAGCGTGGCAGAGGGGTCAGTGCCCCCCAAAACAAGCCCGAGACAGGAACAGCGCACCCGCATGTTGCCCAGACCGGAGAATCTCACAGGAACCCCAAAGAGAGGCGCTGAGGGGACAGCGGCCGCGGATCAGGCGCTGCGGAAGGGGACAGCCCCCCGCTCGGCAGGAAAGCCCGGCCCGTGCCGCACACGCTCCGTGCCCGGTCCCCGTGCCCGCTCCCCGTGGCACACACGCTCCGTGCCCGCTCCCCGTGCCGCACACGCTCCGTGCCCGGTCCCCGCGGCGCACACGAGCGCGGTGCCGCCGCCGCTCCGCCCGGAGCCGCCCGGGAGCCCGGACGGGGCACGGCAGCCGCTCCGCTCCCCGCCCGCACTTCCCCGTTCGCGGCTGGATGCACCATTTCCCCACGCACCGCCCAGCCGGCTGGGGTCACGCATTTCAGCTCCCCGGACCCCGCAGCAATGCCAGCCCTGCCCCCAGCCCGGCCAGGCCGGGGCTGCTGTGCCCAGCAGGGACACGAGAGCTCCCCGGCCCCTCCTCTGCCCAGCCCGGAGCTGTGGCTGCACCCGCAGGCTCGCACCCCCACGCTCAGGGCCCCTCCGGTGCTGCTGCTGGGAACCGAGCCCTCCTCCAGCCCGAACAACCTGCCTGTTCAAGGCCAGCCCTTCGCGCCAGGCTCGGGTCCCTCGGGCTCGCTTACCCTCGCCTGCCACCCTTGTCCCAGCTGGGGACGCGGCTGCAGTGTCCCCCGTGCCAGGGGCATGTGCCAGCTCCCACTCCACTCACCCACCAGGCTGGATGCACCTGGGTCAGCAGTGGTGCCCGCTGCCCCTGACCCTTTGGGGTTGTGAAATTTGGGGTTCTTTCTTCATTTTTCCTCCCACTCCGAGGTTTAGTTTTGGTGCAATCTCTCCTCCCATGTTTCCCAACACATCTGGGAAGATGCAGGCTCTGTCCTGGCACATCCTGCACAGCCTGCCCTCCCTTGCCCTGGCTGCTCCTCTCAGAGCCTCCACCAGCTCCTCACGCACCACCTGCTCACTTACAGTAGGCTTTTTTCATGGCTTTCACTTCTTTGTGCTATTTCACTTCCATTTCCCTCTCTTGCTCCATGATTAGCTCCCCAAACTCTCACTTCTCACTGGCTCCATTCCCAGTCCCCTCGCCGGCCCAGAGGCAGCAGCACTCCCCAGCCACTGCTGCAGGGAGGGGAGGCCCAGGTACCCAAAATCCAAAGGGTTTGGGGATTGATGCACTTCTGAGCCTGCCAAGGAGCCCACCCTGCCGCCAGGGCTGTGTCCCAGCTCAGCCCTCAGGGTGAGGGCAGCCACCCGAGCAGTGCCAGCCCAGCAGCCTGGCTCACCTGACGCTGCACGGGCTCCCAGGCTGCCTGGCAGCCCCGCTGCCACAGAGCAGGACATTCAGCACTTGCTGCTGGCTAGCCCCACTGCAGGACCCCCACGGCAGGACCCCCACTGCAGGGCTCTCTGCAGGACCCTTCTGCAGCCCCTCTGCTCCCAGTGCCTGGGGTCCTGGGAGGTCCCCTGGGGACAGATGTGTGCTGCAGACCTTGGGGAAAAGCTCCCAAGGCACAGGATTGAGCCTCAGGACAAAGTGAGACCCTGGGCATTTGGGGCTCTCACTGGGGAAGGGGGAAGTAAAACTGTTCAAGACTTTTTACCAGAAAATGGCTGATAATGGATCTGATATTTGTGAGGAAACCTTTGATTTTATTTTCCCTTCTTTCTCAAAAGCAGCCTTCATTTAAATTTAATAAAGGGGAAAACAGGCTTTCATCTTGCCTGCAGATTTCACATAAAGCTGCTCAACCCCCCACAATTTCAAAAAGAAAAATGTTGTTTTCCTGAAAATCACAACTAAAATTATTCTTAAACCTGACCCAGCATGTCTGTCCTGCAGCAGCCCAAGGATCTGGGGTCACCCTGGCTGCACTGCTGGCCCTGGCTCTGTGCTGGTGGTGTGTGCCAGGGGCTGACCCACAGAGTGGCTCCACGCACCGTGGCAGAACCAAAACTGGCACTTCTTGCCCCAGAACTGACCCTGATACAGAGGAACTGCTGTAAAAATGAGCCAAAGCTCTGAGAAACGGGCAGGAGCCACAGAAAACAAATACCTGTTTAAATTCACTCAGTGTTTCCACACCAGATACTGTCAAACCACATTTGTAAAGGAAAACTTTTGTTTTAAGGAAAACTTCTCCAGAAGAAAGAAACCTGCACGGTCAGGGGCTCCGAGAGCCACAACCTCCAGCCAGTGACAGACGTGACATCCCAGTGTCACTGAAGGGCCTCTGGGTGCAGGGAGAGCAGTCTCCGGGGGCTTTGGCTTCACCAAACAAAGGACACAACCTGGCGTTTGCAGAGGGATGCTGAGAATGTTTTTAGTAAGAGCAGCTGGAAAACCAAGTTGGGGAAAGTGAGGCCCTGGGAGAGGCAAGGGCTCATGGAGGAGAGGGGTTATCAGAGCACATCAAACCCTCCCCAGCCCCTTCAGGGGCATTTCCTCTGAAAGCATTCCACAGAACTGGGATACTCTCACTCTGATTGCTGTGTCCATCAGTCAGAGGGAAATATTTACCCTTTGAAAATGCATGGTTGTTGGCAAACTCTGACTGGGAACGGTTTCAAATAACCAGAGGTTACCAGTGCTGCAGAACAAAGTGTGATGAGCACAGAGCTGCCTGGTTCCTCCATTACCTGCCCAGGGATCTGGGATCCAGCCCTGGCACCTGGGGTGAGCGGGTCAGGCTCGGACAGCAGCAGCTGAGGGACAGAGCTGCCATCCAAACGCTTTTCCCAGCACACAGGCACGTGTGCTGAGCTGAGACATGCCACTCCTGCTTCCTCTTCTGCTGGAAATCCCCTTTTTCCTCCTTCTGACACTGAGGCTTTATCCCTCTGTTCCTCCTTCCCTCTGCTGCTCCATCTCTCTGTTCCTCCTTCCCTCTGCTCCTCTATCCTTCTGCTCTTCATCCCTCTGCTCCTCCATCCCTCTGCTCTCCATCCCTCGCTCCCCACCCCCAGTATCCTCTGCTCCTCCATCTCTCCAGTTGCTCCCTCATTCTTCCCGTTTCCCTGGCAACGCCCATCTCGCGCCGAGATCTGTCCCCTCTCTCCCTCTTATCTTTCTCCTCTCTCTTTCATCTCTCTCCTAATCTCCCTCTCCATTCTGAACCTCTGTCCTTTGCTTCCTTTCTCTCCCTCTCCCATTTCATCTCCTGCGATGCCTCCTCTATCTCAGGGTTACAATTATTTGAATCTCACTTTAAAGAAATGATCTGTTTAATTAACCACCGGGCCCTGGCCCCGCTCCCGCCCTCTGCAGCCTGGCACGGCCCCTGCCCACACCCCAAAGTGCCTCCTGGCCGAGGACAGTGGGGTGACAGTGCCCTGCCACCCCCTCCAGCACCTGGCAGCCCTGACCCGCAGCCCTGACCCGCAGCCCCTCCTGTCCAGCCTGCACTTCTCCCAGAAAAGATGGGACCAGGTGATCCCTGAGGTCCCTCCAGATCTGGGATTCCATCACTCCATGGTCCTAACACAGCCAGCACAGAACAGCAGCTCCTGTGCCAAGATCACCCTCGAATTCTGGGTTACAGCAAAACAAGGGGAGACGACAATGCATGTGGGAAAGGTGTTTCCTGAAAACCAGAGCCCTGACTGCATCCATTTGGGCGTGGGGGTAAGGGAAAGGGGGAGGAAGGCAGGCTGCTCCCAGCTCTGGGGACAGTGACAGGGACAGGGAGCCTGGCCCTGGCTCGGGGTCACCTCCAGGGAGCTCCTGTCCTGTGGCACAGCCAGGAGCCACGGGCCTGCCACCAGCACTGTCCCTGCCCTGGGGAGGAATCTTCAGGGAACTTGGTATGGGCTGAGCCAGAGCAAAGGCTGCAGCCAGCGTTCTGCTCTGGCCAGGGGCGGTCTGTGAGCAGCCAAAGCTGCACCAAAACCACACCAAAACTGCATCAAAACAACACCAAACCATCACCAAAGCTGCACCAAAACCACACCAAAACTGCATCAAAACCACACCAGAACCTCACCAAAGCTGCATCAAAACCACACCAAAACTGCATCAAAACAACACCAAAACATCACCAAAACTGCATCAAAACCACACCAAAACTGCATCAAAACAACACCAAACCATCACCAAAGCTGCATCAAAACCACACCAAGACTGCATCAAAACCACACCAGAACCTCACCAAAGCTGCATCAAAACCACACCAAAACTGCATCAAAACAACACCAAAACATCACCAAAACTGCATCAAAACCACACCAAAACTGCATCAAAACAACACCAAACCATCACCAAAGCTGCATCAAAACCACACCAAAACTGCACCAACACCTCACCAAAGCCCCACTGGAGCTGCCCCAAAGCCACCAGTGGTTCATGCCCAGAGTGCTGCCCGGGCAGGGAGCACTTGGGAAGGGGATTCTTCTTGGCCCCACCTGCCTCCCCAAGGAGCTCCCGTTGCTGTGCCACAGGGCTCAACATCTCCTCCCTCAATTTGCAGAGCAAACTGATCATGCCTCAGGCCTGCTCTTCCGGGAGCAGGGCAGCAGGGCAGCGGTGACAGCGAGCCGAGCTCTGGTGGCACCTGGAGCAGTGAAGGGCCCAGCCTCACCTGCTGAGCGAGGGCTTTCCTCAGAGCCACGGGGCTTGGGGAGGTGTGAGAGCACTGTCAGTCCTCTGGGGAAGGGCTGAGCTGCAGCTTGTGTCCCTCTGCTCTGAGCACAGTGACTGACCACGACCGAGGGGCACCTGCCCGCCTGGCACCCGCACACCTGGCACCTGCACACCTGGCACCCGCACACCTGGCACATCCCACGTGTCCTCAGGGGCTCCTGCGTGAGCCCCCCACTCCCCTCTGGAGCCAAGACCCCCTCCACTCCCACCCCTGTGCACGCAGGTGTGTGCTGCAGCAGAGAGGTCCAGGAGCTGCCTTTAGCCTCACCCCCAAAAATGCTGCTGCTCTGAGCCCAGAGGCAGGGAGAGCCTTTAAATCAGGTAACTGGGGAGGGGTGAGCTGAGGGACCTGGGCCCCTCTGGCAGCTCTGACCCCAGAGCGCCGGTGCTCCAGGGGTTTGGGACGGCAGAAAATGGGTTCTGCCAGCAGCAGGAAGGGCCCCAGCCCTGCTGCTGTCCCAGCCTGGCTTCAAAGGCTCCACACTGAACCCTCGCTCTGCCTTGGAAAACAATTTTTGCTTTTAAATGAAATAAACAGGGAAAGAAAAGACTTTCAAGTTCCTCCTTGCTGTAACGGCTTCTCCCCGGCACAGTCCCTTTCCTCTCCGAAAATAGCCGAGCTATTCAAAAGAGATGCGAGAAGAAAAAAAGGAACTGAATAGAGGAAAAGGGAAAGAAAAAAATGGAGCCCCAAGGGGGTGGAGAAAAACAGAATGAAAAGACAGCAAAAGTAAAGAAAAGGGATGAAAAATAAAGGAGGGGGAAGAGAGAGACAGACAGAGGAGCTTTGAAAAGAAAGAATGCTGCCAGCCTGAATACAGGGAGCAGGAAAAAAGGGCCCTGAAAAGAAAGAGCCGGCTGGAATGACCTCTCATTCAGGGCTGTGCCAATCACCGCCGCGATGGAAATCCTTTCTTCTTCCCTGCATTCTCTCTCTTTCCAGCGGGGGCAGAGGGAAGAGGAAGAAAGGGGAGCTAATTCTCAGCACAGCAGAAAATAAATCTGCTCTTTGCGAAGACCCTGAAAGGCACCGAGGCGCTGACAAACCCGTTCCCAGCACTCACACACAGATGGGGACAGAAAGGAAAGGGACTCAGCAACGGGACCACCTTCACCTCCCCACTGCTCCTCTGGAAAATGAAGGAGCAAACACCCCAAGCAAGTGGGAATTCAGGTCAGCCCCCAAAAGCTTGAAGGGAAGGATCAGGGATGGCTGTGGCAGAGGCAAGCCCAGGGGCTGGTGCTGCAGGGAGCAGAGGGCCAAGGGTGGGTGCAGCCCCTTCTGCCCTGCAGGACCCAAACCTGCCAGCACCAGCCTTGCCCGGAAAGGCCCAGCAGGGCTTCTGCCCGGGTCTGTGAGTCCCAGCACTGCCCCTGTGCCTCTGGCATCCTCAGCAGAGGCAGGGGTTGACAGAGCCTCGTGTGTGGAGATGGACCAAAGTGCCCAAACAGCCCCAAATGAACCAAGGTGCAGGAGAGCAGTGCTGGGGTGGACAAAGGGAGCTGACACCAGAGGGATGGAGCCCACCAGGACAGCAGGTCCTCTGGGACAGAGGCAACAGGCAGCCTGGTGTCCTGCAGAGACCCGGGTGTGATCCCATCCAACCCCAAAGCAGCCCAGGCTGAGGTGAGAGGAATGTTCTGAGCCCCTGTGGCATCCCTCCTGCTGGACACAGCTCCTGCTCAGCATCCCCAGGCCTGGGGTTAATCATAAACTGCTGGGACTTGGGACAGAGCCATAAACGTGGCCAGAGGTCTGAGGAGACAACACAGGCAGGAGGAGCTCGGGAATCCTGGTGTGTGACCCAGCTGGCTGTGAAAGGGGAAACCCAAAACGGTACAAACCTGTCAGCCCAAAGGGAACAAAGGATGTGAAAGAGCTGCAAGGAAGATCCCCACAGGGGGAAGGGTCTCACTTAAGGGTGTTACTTTCAGGAGCATCGCTGCCCTTATGCCTGGGAACAATTTCAGTCCAGTTTTGGTGTTCCCCTGAGTGGAGCCCGTCCATTCTGCAGGACAGTGGCTCCTGGGCCTGCCTGTCCCTGTGTCCCCAGGCTCTGCCCTGTGCTGGACTGCGAGGACAGAGAAATGGAAACACAGACCCGTCCTGGCACCAGCAGTGTCCCAGCACAGCTAAGGGCAGCGAGGAAGGCAGACACACAATCCCTGTGTGACTGTTCAGTGTCCCACGGGCACTGGGGAGCACCCCCTGAGCCCGCACCCCGCAGACACTGCCCCTCAGAGCCCCCCAGCCCCCAGGAGCCCCAGCACACACAAACAGCTCCCCACGGCTCTGCTGCAGCTCACCCCAGCCAGGAGGGAGGGCTCCTGCAGGGCTGGGGCTGCTGTGCCCCCCAGCCGGGCACTGCTGAGCTCTGCCACCACCCCGTCTGCTGTCCCTGCTGCAGGGCTGGGCAATAAGTTAATCACAGCCGAGGGGCTCTAATTTGAGCGTGATAATTAATACTCAACCGGGTAATCCTCCACGTGTGTGCCTGCTGGAGGGCTGTGTGGGCAAGGCTGCAGGGCAGGGGGACACTTCATGCTGTGTCTGCCCTCAGCTCCGACTCTGAGCCTGTTCTGCCCTGGAGAAACTGCCCCTGTGTGCCACAGCCCTGGGACACCCCTGAGCACAGCACAGCAGCCGCAGTGTGCCCCAGTGCAGGTCCCAGTGAGTGAGGCACAGCTGAACCTGCACGGGGGACACCGACCTCCAGCTCTGTGGCTCAGGAATCACCTCTGGCACAAGGAATGGCTGTGGGGCTCAGCCCACGCAGCCAGTCCCAAACCCAGTGAGTGCCTCTTCCCACAGGCCCCAGGTGGAGCAGGGGAGGGAAGCAGAGCTCTGCACCACGGCAGGAGGAGGTATGGGCAGGAACGGGGCAGCACTGAGCCCCCTTCCACCCACACCAGGCTCTGCACCAGGCCACCTGGCACTGTCCCACTCCCAGTTTCCAACAACAAGGCTCTCTGACGTGTCCCACCATTACAGGAACAAACCCAGCTGCACAGCTGCCAAGACCACTTCTACTTTCAGATCCCCAAGGTGGGAAGTGTTTCAGATCCTTTTCTGCCCAGCTGAGCAGGTCAGGAACGAGTGTTTGGGAGGCTGGCTTGGACAGAGGGAGCAGGAGGCACTGGACAAGTGGAGGCAGTTCGTGAACTCCCAGCTCAGGACTCATCCAGGCCAGGTGTGGACGACACATCTCCCCACATGGCCAAAGCCAGCTGTGCCTGCTGCCCCCACAGCACCTCGGAGATCCACAG